AAGTAGAGATCTAGTTTGGTGGTTGAACATTACACTTTCTTCTCAAACAAAAGCCGAGTGGGATGTTTTTCATGCTAGAAAGTTAGGTTTCTCGACATGAACTTCATTTAATTTGTTTTTGTGTTCTGTCTTTTGTCTTGATAGAAACAAACTTCTGTGTTTTCTATTTCCCCCCATAGATCCGAAGTTCAGCATGAAGACTATAACGTGGTTTGGTTTTGGTAAGTAAATATACTACTTAAAAAAAAATGTAAATGTCCCTTTAAATAAATGAGTTACAGTGACCTATATCCAATTATGTCCTTCATGTTTATAAAATGTTAGAATCCACCTGGGAGAATATCCCAGATAATAGCTGTGTTGATACATTTAAGAAACTAAATTGAACTTGATGAATTGTCCTTTGCTTCATTTTCACTTTATGAGTTTCAAATATAAACTAATAAGAATATATACACCATGTCTTCAGTTTGTCCTTGTCTTAACACTCAGAGTTACTGGTATTCTCATGTGGGTATATCTTAATAAATGTGATCTTCTGTCTTCAGTGCTGGGTGCACTCTCTGCTGCCGGGGAAGTGATTTGGACAAAACCAGGGCAGACCGCCATTTTCAAATGTCAAGCCGAGTCCTACGGTACACTGGAGTGGCTTCATCATGGAACTGAACGGATCATTAGAGTTGATGGGAGGACTGGCCAACAAAACAAAGGTTAAAAAAAGGGTTAGAGTATAGCAGCATAAGTTATTTAAATGACTTCACTTTACAGATAACAGTATTTGTTTTTTTGTGCATTAGCTCAGAGTGATATCGTAAAAAGGTCAGCAGCAAGTGAAACAACTCTGACGGTCTCTTCAGTGAAGGAAGCAGACGCTGGAAGGTTCACTTGTAAAGTAGACAGGAGAGTACAAGAATATACGCTTCTTGTTGTCTCAGGTGAGCTTATGACACCAAGAAACGTGTCTGCAAACATCCTTTTTCATCTGCTTTGAAAACAGAGTGATTGTGGTTGGTTGACCAAGGTTAGAATAGTTCTGAATTGTTCATTTGTTTTTTATATGTTGTTTTGACATTTTTCAATTTAAGTATGATTAAAATTTGGGTTTAATGCTTTAATGTTTTTTTAGTTTATTTTTTATTTTTTAAACTTTTTGAAAATGCTTAGTTTTAGACCTCATACCATTTCAAAAAATATATTTAATATAAAAGAACAACAACTGCAGCCTTCCACAAAAGACAAACCATGAAGGGTAAGTGTCAGTCAGTATGCCTGTTGCATTAACCCAAATAAAAAAAATCAACAGAACAGTAATCTTAAATGTGGGGACAAACGTGAAAGAGACAAAGCCTTAGGTATAATTTTTAGTCTCAGTTATCATTTTTTAAGCCTTGGTGCTGACAACATTTTTTGGACAGTCTTGTTTTTAAGTTGTTTTTTAATGATATTAACCTTGCAGGTGACCTCTTTTATTACCTAAGGATTTTGATTCAGAAAAAAAGAAGGGCATTTTGAATTTACTGCTTTTGGGGATATTCATTGTGTTGTGTTGACTTGAAATCCTCCCCATTTGCACATGTAGGGATTGCATCGATAAAAATAGTATTTGATCTGAAGAGCAGTAATAGGTATAATTTTATTTGACCGCTTACTCAGACTTGAAACAGTTTACTATCACAAGCCAGATCAGGCTATAACTATTCCAGCCATTTAGATCAAAGTAACCATTTCAGAATTAGTTTTAGGAAAATGAATTTTGTAATATATTGTTAAAGATTAAAAAATAAATATAAAATTACACAAAACAAGTCTTAAAAGGGATTTTCAGGGATTCTAGTCCTGCATTTTCATCAACTTTGTGGTTTCCCAAGAGAAGCCGCAAAGGTTAAAATATCCTGATTCCAGTCCCAAATAAAGCTCATAAGCCCAAAATACTGCAGGATGGATGCTATTTTCCCTATAATTTTAGTACATCTACCCTCCTATACATAAAAAAAAATCACATAAGATAAAATAGCATACACCTCTAATTATCCCACAACGGAGGAATTTACAGTTACAGCAACAAAGATCAAGGATCGCCAAAAAAGAGCACACAGCTAGAAAATAGGCCTCCTAATAACTTAGGCCTCTTATTTAGAAAATGAAGTCCCCCAGCACATTTATTCAAACTTAAGAAATAAACATATCACACAACTGTTTTCTCTAGCTGAGAAAGCTGTTAATGGACTTGGACTTGTACAGCACTTCTCTAGTCTGTCAGTACTCAAAGTGCTTATTACACTGCATGTGACATTCATCCATTCACACCACCCTCACACACCGATGGTGGAGGCTAAAAAATTACCCAACTCCCCATCAGTACGATTCCACTAATATTCACACGACTCAGACTGAGTGGAAGGCTACCTCTCAGGAAAATGAACCTACATGTTTAAAATCAATCAAGTGGCTCTTAATTCTCCCACTTTTAGTCTTTAGAGCTGTCTTAAGTAAAAACACATGCTATACTTTCATTTTGTTCTTCCTGTCACGTTCCTCTTCTTGCTCATGGTATTTCTAACTGTATTTTTTCTCTTATCTGCTGTCAGTCCCCTCTGGTGTTCTCCAGGTGGGCAGCACAGCTAAACTCCAGGTAAAAGGTAAGAGCTCTAGCACCTCGGTGCAGTGGAAGGGTCCAGATGGACATCTCACAGATTCCGAGACGATTCAGCTCAATCCGGTAGCCCTCTCCCATAACGGGACCTGGGAGTGTTTGTTCACACTAGACAAAGTGACCCACAAAAAAAGCCTTGAAATCAAAGTCGAAGGTAGGACTCTTCTATAAAACCTTTGCATATGGGTTTCACAATAACGAAAGCTCTACTCGCTTGGCCGGAAGTGGAAGCATGACAAGTTTTTTTCTTACAGTACCAGCTCCTGAAACAGCTGCACCATTACCTTCGCAAAAATCAAAGGACTGCCACAACTGTGAGTATACTGCTGCTGAAAATCCTCTAATTTTAAGAACAAATTGCAGGTGCTTCTTCAATGTACATGCCATTGATTCTTTATTTCATGCTATTTGCCTGTTGGCTTAAACAGGTGTTACTAACCCTCAACCCAAGGAGACCCCGCTGCTGCAGGAGCTCAGCTGGTGGGTGTGGGTTGCACTGGGAGTTGGCTGCCTCGTTGTGATTCTCCTGATTGTCTTTGTCATAGTTTTGTGCGTGAGGATCAGAAGAAGGAAGGTAATAGAGATTATTATCCAGAGAATCTTGATTGAAATTATAGCATGTGTGATAACAGAGGATGGGTTACTGAAGTGAGGGAAAAACATAATGACATGGATTTCTTTCTGCTGCAGAGAAAATATCAGAGGAGGCAGAATGGCCAGCAGCCACTGAAGCCCCGACAGTTCTGCCAGTGTAACCGGTAAATGTTCTTAACTTTCTTCTATCTAGTCAAAAAATTACTTTATCCGCTCTCCAGTAATCTCTGCTCACTTTACAGATGCTTTCTAATAGACTCTTTTCACGTTATATTAATAACTGTTTGACCTTCATCTTTCACTGTGCCTTTTACTGAGTCCTTCATTATTGTGTCATAATTAGTGTGAAAACTTCTTCTCTTTCCTCTCTTTATCACAGCCCAACAGCTGCAGCCAAACCGCAGCAAGGACGCCGGCGAGAGAAGCCATTGGCCCTCCCCCGGCAACCCCTGCTAATGGAGTGACATGAAAGGCAGATCGAAGAAAGGCGAGATAGAGGGGAAAAAAAGAAAGAGGGAGTGTGCGAAGAAGTGAAAGAGAAGGGATAGATAGAGATAAAGAAAGAGAGAAGTGAGTGAAAGAGAACCCCAGTGTGAATACAGCATGCATTTAAACGGGCTTCTGAATGTTCTTGATGAAAATAAAAATCAAATGTAATGATGTGGGCACTTTGAGCTTTTTCCACCAAATATAACAAGTGAGCTGAATGCAAATAAGTCCTTCAACTGCCAGAGAGAACAGCAACAGTCTGTATTTCTTTCTTTTTTTTGCTTGTATTATGAAATGTTATGCCTATCCTTGAACAAAGCATGGTCAACTTCTATTGTCCTCCATTATCTACTGAATCACATGTTCCACTGTGGTTCACTGTTTGATGTTTATGTACACTTAATCTTCTTTTCTGTAGGTTGTAAATAAAATGACGAGTGCACTCTCTTGTGTATCTTTTCTTCATATATAAACCACAAAGATACACAACCGCAAAATAAGCAAAATGATACAGTATCTCTGCTCATATTAGAGAAGAAGGCTTCTTTCAATATAATAGAATCACAAGAATGAAACACTGACATGATTCTTTTTGGTGACTATGAGAGGGAATTAAGATGGTTAAAAAGAAAAAGAGACAAAAGTGTTACTATAAAGAACTTCAAAGAGGTATAGGCTTTTAGGATAAACATTGACAAACTATTTTAAGTCAAAATGTATTTGAAAGAATAAAAATGTTAAGAATCACATTTTGCAGCTTGTTCAACATGATGTCAAACATCTTTTATTCTATAAAGATGTGTTAAACAGCGCCTGCTTTGGCTACAGTAGTCCCCACAATTGGTGCAGGACAATGCAGCTGTTGACAGCGATGCAGTGCTACATGTATAGAAACACACAGTAGACACCTGTTACGTACCATCAAGCAAGATCACAATGACATACTAACATTCATACTTATCTGCATATATGTAAGGTTGAAAGAATATAGTATGTCTTTATGAGTTAGGTTTCTTTTAGTATTTTATAATGTAAGTGTACTTTAGAAAACTTCTTAACTGTGTGTGTGTGTGTGTGTGTGTGTGTGTGTGTGTGTGTGTGTGTGTGTGTGTGTGTGTGTGTGTGTGTGTGTGTGTGTGTGTGTGTGTGTGTGTGTGTGTGTGTGTGTGTGTGTGTAATCTATGCCATTCATTTAGTACATAATACAAAGGATTGGATCATAGTGGTGTCTGACTTCCTGTGTGTGTGTGTGTGTGTGTGTGTGTGTGTGTGTGAGCGAGAGAGAGTATGACAGAGACACCTGCATTTCTTACAGCCTACCAAATGTCAGTGAAGAACTCTTCGCAGCACTGAAAACATCACGTGTAAGTACTCCTTAACACACTGTGTGTATGAAGTTGTTAAAAAGCTGATTTAAAGGTTTTTCTTATGAAGGGATTATACATTCGTCAGGAAAGTGATACGTTTGTCTCTAAGGGCACAAACTGCTTCTAGAATTCCTGACAAGATTTCGGACGCTGCCAGAGACAGACGCAATGGGCCATTGAGGGACAAGGCTAAATACTCAAATCTGGTCTCGTCCGAGGCCAGATTTTTTTAACTCTTTGTCTTGTCAGCATACTGATCTGTTTCAGCCTTGGTCTGGTGTTGTCTGTCTAAAACTTAGAATTTGCCTCAGTTACTGACACAAGTTGCTCTGTGGTATTTAGCACACAGAAACAAATGAATTTGTTCAAAAATACGTGCTGAGGATTTTTGAAGTCATCACTGACTTCAAACAATGATGATGAAATCTTCTCTATCTTTAGATCCGACACACACTGACATGCATTTACGTCTTTTTGTTTTAATGTACCTAGTGACAACCATGAGAAGGATTTTAAAATGTCAAATCAGAAATGCTTAAAATAGAATTTTCCTAAAGCCCAAGAAGAAAGGAGATATTTAGTTGTGCAATAATGCCGACCCCATTCTGTTGGTTTTGCAATCCTTTGGGGGATGAGAGTCCTTTTTGCAAGTGTAAACAAACTAATTATTTTTCTTTTGCAGCAAATCTCTATTGTTCCAACAGTTGGTAGATAAAGTAGTCAAGCTTTATGGCCTGCAAACAGCCCAAGTATGACAAACGACTTTGTTTCAGATTTTTAATCCACTTATAAAAATGATTCACTGGTTTTCAGGAGCACATCAACATAACTGACAAACTAAATCTCTTTTATTTGGAGGAGTTCCACTTGATGCATCATTAGTATTTGTTGTGAGTAATTAAATATTCAGAGGAGCAGACAGAAATCTTTGAATTTTTAAACATTGCTACACAACAGTGGTTCATTTTTTACTTGAAACAGACTTGAAGAGAGGCAACCATGATTATTTTGCATTCATATTGTCCATAAAACATTTGAATGTGTCAAATAAATAAGATCTACGATATGGCAGACAATACACATCCAGGGTCCTGCTTATTGTCTGTTCAGGAAACCAGCAGTGGACAAAAAGTATCAATGTGCTCTTAAAGCAGCCTAAAGGTATTCTGTATTCAATTTATACCCGTTCATGCTTATCGAACTGCACATATTTTATGTGACTTTAAGCGGTATGTAAAATTATCTCTCAAATTTTCAACAAGGCACATAAACATTGTATGAGCGGGTGATTTGTACACATGCTTTCATTAATTCTAACACAATTCATTGTTCTGCTTTTATCCAACCCTACATTAAAGAAATAGACGATAAACCACTGCTCTAGAGTCCATGTTTAGTTCCAACTAACCATGACAGGCTGCGACTGGTTTACCAAAAATCTGAAATAGAACAAGTGATTAGTCAGTATGAAATTATTCTAAAGCAACACCACGCACTGATAGCTGAACCCAACTTTATTTTGGAGCCAGAAAAGCAAAAAATATATAATTTGATGAAAGTATCAATGGACCGTAACAGTCTGTATATTATTTACATATTGTTTGACTGGCATAGTTTTCTTTTTCCTTGAGGACCAATAAAATAAATGATTAAATCAAAGGCAATACTAAACACTGATGAAGACCTGACTGAACTAACACGGTTACAGATATCACTCTCCTGGGGTATAATATACCGACACAGTGTCTGTACAATTCTGCCAAATGTTTTTTAAAGAATCGCAGAACAACAGATAGTCTGTTTTGGGGTACCTGTGGGCTAGTGGTTAGCTTGTGTGCCCAATGTACAGAGGCTAACAGTCCTCAAGCCGGCAGCACGGGTTCAAATCCATCCTGTTGCTCCTTTGCCACATGTCATTACCCCCTCTCTCTCTCTCTCTCTCGCTCCCTCTGATTTCCAGATCTATCCACTGTCCTGTCTCTCTAGATATGAATTATTGATCATACTTCATGTCCAGGTTATGTACCCTTGCTTGTGCTCGTGCATGAGACACTGTACCGTGCCGATGTTCACCTCTTCCATTCTTGCTAGGGCCAAGGAAGTGTCCAGTGCTTGAGCATGGAAAGCAGCATCACACTAGTCAAATGAACTGGACTTTGGGGGTCAAACGTGCTATGGCTTGGTACAGATTGCCTAGTGTTAGTGCAACCTAATAAATGCTTCAAAAGTCAAAAAATAAATCTTGGAAAAAAGGCATAGTCAGTTGATGAATATGTGGATATGCATATGTTGAACATTTTAAAACAATGTTCCTTTATGGTGTTGGCCTGTTATGGACTGGCTAACACCATTAACCAGGTTTATTTAAGCTTTTTTTCAATCGATTGAGACGCTTTGTGAGAAACCTTATATCATATTTGGATAGTTTTTTATGTGCGACTCTGTGTATACTCAAAAAGACCCTTGAGGCACATACAAAGTATTTGAAATGGAATTGTATTAAAGCAAATTCGCTTTACACTTTAATCCAAGTGCCTTGATTAGAATTGTTTAACAACATTAGAGGTCACAGGATAATCAGATAAAATCCTCAGTGTGGGTCTATGTTTTATTCAGGCCTACATTATGTTGTACTGTGTTTTAAAGAGGACAGCATGCGTTTGTCATTATTTTGTCTTGTGCACAGTTCATTTTTGTACCTGTTGGTTTGTAAGAGTCTTGGTCAAAGTTTCTTGTAATTGTTATGGACAGGGGAGCATTAGTTTTTCACTGGCTTGTTGTTTGGATTTTTATTCAATTGTTTGACCCTTTGTTTAAATATAGGAATGTCCCGTGTCATGAACTATGTGAAAAACAATCTGTCTTTAACAAGTGGGGCCAAAATGGATATGTCAAATCACACCTTCAAAAAAACATCCTAAATAGGGATATATGCAGTATTCATTCTAGATGTAAATGATTTTATGTATATTACATTTTGGTATCTTACCAGGTGATGTCGTACTGTATTTGTGCGGCGTCATGCCTTGCTTGTCTTTATGACTTTTCACATCAGTCCGGTCTTCTGTAAATAGATAAACAGCTGTAGTGACTTCTGCTCACTGACTTCTTCAATAACATAAAATGCAGCTAAAGACAAAATACCTGTTAACGACCATTTTGCATTATGTTCCTAAAATTGAGAACACTACGAATGAGAAAGCGCTAGGCTGTACACACCTCAACACCAATGACATTTCAAATCAACTCTTTAGTCTCCTTTCTATCAAATCCAGTATTTACCAGTTACTTTCATTGCTATGCTGACGATATACTGATTTATCTGTCCATCAAACCATGGCTTTAAAAAGTTCTTCACTTAAACTCTGATAAAAGGGTTAGGGACGTTCTTAGCATTGGTCTGAGCACCACCGAAATCAAGGTCAACCAATGCTCTGTGCACTCGAACAAGAACCTCGTTGTTATCATTATCATCTTTAAGTTGGACAGAATTACAAGCACTTGTTTGTTGAACACAAACAAGTGGTACAATCATGTTTTTATCACATTTGCTTTATCACAGAAAGCTAGACAAATATTATCTGTTAAAAATACAGATGAAATAATTAATTCCTTTATGTCCTCATGTTTGTATCACTGTAACACCCTGTTTACAGCACCAGATATGTAGCAGAACGGCAGACTGCGCAGAACTCACCATCCAGACTCCAAACATGTTTGTCTCATCACTCCAGGTGTTACCTCTCTGCTCTGATTACCTGTCCATTTTAGAATCCATTTTTAAATCAGACTTTACACTTACCATGCTTAATGATCAGGTACTGGGGTACATTGGTCAATTTTTAAGCCCATATTGCCCCAAAAGGCCTCATAAATCTGCTGTTGTAGAACTGCTGGTTATTCTGTAGACCAGGTTAATTTAGAGTCGAGGTTCTCTTAGTCTGCTTGTATTATAGGGTGTATATGTTTTAAATGTATACCTTTTTATTGTGCTGTGTATGGAAAGCTCGTTGTGCTCCTTGCTTGAAAAGCGCTATATACAAAGACTTATCATTATTAATACAAAGTATAGTGGATTTCTTTCTCCCTCTCAGAGTGATGGTTAGAGTGATGAGAAATAAGGCAACGTTCATATTGAGATGCTTAATGTGTATTTTCTGTCTATTCTTTTTACAATCACCAGGCTGTGTTTTCTCTGAATCTGTTATGAAAAATAAAGTCTCTGTCACACTGGAGGTGTTTTCAAATGAGACAATAGGATTCCCTTTTTCATGACTATTAGTCAGTGCTCTCTCTCATTGTTTTTCCTACTCAAATGAACGTATATACACAACCATACACAATCATATCAAAGTGAAACTGAAATTTCTGAAACAAGGCTTGTACCTCCCACTTGTATTTCCATTTAGCTATAATTCCATCAGTCTAAAACACCAGGAGCCACATTCAGCTCACAGACTCCGAGAAACCTTATATTGAACAATTAATAGTCTTTGAAAAATGTTACATAAACTCCTGGGGAAATTGTGTTACGTAACAAACTTAATATCAGGAGCATTATCGGCTGCATACAATAAGAATCAATCAGCACAAATACAGAGCAACAGGAGAAAGCTAACTGAGCTCCAAACAGTCATCTGAGCTCACACTGCACACAGAACAATTCACAATCCTTCTATTTAAAACGATCTCCTGACAGGTGATTTCCCATCGAGTAAACCCCCCTCTTATGAAGCCTCAGCTCCGCGCAGGTTTCAGTTGTCTGTAGTTACATTGTGATTGGTGAAGCCCGTGTTTAAACAGCTTGTACATTGTGACTAATCATTGCTAATGGGAGTGAGCTTTGCAGCTTTAAAGTTAAAATGCTTAACAAGAAGATGATTCCCAGTAAGCCAAGGGTGATGTGCACTGAACCAGGAAATGAAACAGGATTAACTGTTCTAAAGCTGTGTCAATGAAGTCGTGTGCAGTGGATGTCTGCAGCTGTGTTTGTCAGT